AAAAAAAAAAAAAAAAAAAAAAAAAAAAAAAAAAAAAAAAAAAAAAAAAACCCGCTCATTCTTTCATTTCAGCCCGTCCGTGCTCCTCCCCCTTCCCTCCAAAAGTTTAGTTGGTAACAGTGTTTCTTAAGTTATTCCGGAAGACTGAAACTTGGCTGTTCCTTTCTCAGAACTTTCTTTCTTCGACTGTATTCCGCTCGCCGCGCGGAGAGACTTGACGATGAGTTAAGCCGATGGGACGGTGTGGAGTTATTCGATTTCGTTACACACTAACTGCACGAATGTGTACAGCGTCCTCAATTGTCAAAATTCTCTTAAAGTACTAAACTTATTCCTCTGAAAAATTGCACACCAACAGAATGATCTCTCCGATAATAAATCTTTACAATCTCGCTCCTGAACCCTGTTTTTTTGTCGGTGTGTTTTGAGTCACAAAATGTATTACACCTTCAATTATTACCATAAATTTAACCATATTCATAGCTTTTGGTGCCAATCAAGGAAAGGACTAGGGACACTTTGCAGTGGAAAACTATTATTCTTGGCTCATTTTAGTAACAACACATGGACCACGTATCTCGGTTTGCGACGTTGCAGACTTTTTGCCGTAATTTATATTTTTAAATGTAAAACTACCTACTCAACGTCAATTCTTGAAAACGTCCGTAACTTTTTTTATCTGTGGGAAGAAAACTCAATGATATCTTCGAGGAATGATACTGATTTGTTCTCCCTATAAAAAATTAAAATGAAATGGGAACGGAGATTTTGAAACACCGCAAACGAGATACGTGGTCTGGTAGTTTCATCGTCGACATGTGACTTTAGTTTCCTTTCGCAAAAAATGTTTCTACGGCAGAAATAGTTGTTCCGGTCCAAAATGTAGTCTAAATAATAAATATACATTTTAACCATACACTGCTCTAAAGTTTATCAATTTCCAAGTTACCAGACAGACAGATGGCAAATACAACCAAAATTCTTGGTCGGTTCCAAAAATTCCTTCTTTCCGTGTGCATGGACTCGGAATTTTCATCTTACCCTCATTATCTAGCAATTATGCCCAAAGTATATTTAAGTATTCGTACTCCTCGAAAACACGCACTTGACCGTGTTGTCAGGATGTTTATCTTGCATTATTATTCATACTCCTCACGTCTGAAACCTGCTCGCATGATCCTCATCACATTATTGAATGTCGAAACAGGCCATTTGTCAACTTTACATCTCTTTATGGGAGACTCGTAATCACAATGCATGAATAATAATTCTCAGTTGTGTCCGGTCCCGTTCCTCGCGGAGCAACCCGCGAATTTCTTATACAGACACTAATTAATGGCTTAGCCTCAATGGCCGACGATGTGGTGGATGTGGTGCGCTGCGGATCGTGCAAGTGTGAAATTTGCTCGCCTTACGAAAGGATTGTGGTTTTGCGGTGGATTCTGCGTTGCCGCATTTCTTCGAATACACAATGGCGTATGGTTTGGTTTTAACAGGAAACTGAAAGCGAAGAGGAGTTTGAACTAAGAAAAATAATTACATTACAGCAGCTTTTAAATCCGACAAATCCAAATTTCCGAAGTTAAAGCATAATTTTTGTTTAACTTAGTAAAAAATGTGTACAGGGTGATCCAAAAGTCGTGCATCCAGCACGTGGTGCGGGACTTTCCGATCACCTTGTACATATACGTACTCCGAGTTGGTTTTAACCCACTCTGTGAGAAAATTTAACACGAAAGTTTGGTTAAAATAAGAACGGAAAACAAAATAACCTCAGCTCTCGGTTGATCGTGGGGTAACCCCGTTTTTCTATTGTTTTCTGTGTTGGATACCTAAATTCAATGTCCGTAAAGCTATTTTTTTCGGAAAATCGATTTTTTTAATATCGATGGCCAAAGAGTGAAACCCTCTTATCTCCGTTCGCGACGTTGCAGACTTCCTGTCACACTTAATGGTTTTCTTGAAAGACTATAGTTGATATTATTCATCGAAAGCCTCCTTGATTTTCCCTCTCCATCAGCGGAGTATCCAGTAAACATTTCAAGCTATAAAGTTGGCTTGTTTCTCCTCTTTGTTGGAAAAATAAAATAGAAGCGGGCATTTTGAAACACCGCAATGGAGGTACTCGTACGTGCTTTCGCATTTTAGCCATCGATATGCTTTAAACCGATGAAATCTATTTTTGAAAAAAAAATGTTCTCGATTCATTTCGATTTATCGAGTTTTTCCGATAAGACGCAAATTTTATTCGCAAGACTGATCATAATACAAAGATCCCCCAGATGACGTGTATGTCATGGGGTTACGTTTTCTATAGTCGTTGGTGATGCCTAGAGTCCCTTCATACTGAGAGTCAAGACAACACCCCCTATGGAGTCACAAACGGGAATAAAGAATACAGAAATTGAACGTTTTTTGTAATCTTTGATCGGCCCATTCTCAAATTCCTTTATCCGTTCCTTCTTTCATTCCGTTTGTTCCTCGCCGAACCCGTAATTCCCTGGTCCATTCCAGATTATGATCTTTGCAATCGGTGAAAATGTAATCTTTATTCCCGTTTGTGACACTGTGAAAGCCTAACATACGGGAACCATTCAGAAATGGATTCACATTGTCTTGACTCTCAGTATAAAGGGACTCTGAGTGATGCCGAACTGTATTCTTGTTATAAAATAAAGACTGTTATCTATCTAACTGTCGATCGATCTATCTATCGATCTATCTATCGATCTATCTATCGATCTATCTATCGATCCATCTATCTATCTATCTATCTATCTATCTATCTATCTGTCTATCTATCTGTCTATCTACAAAACAAAGATGAAGAGATGTAACGGTTTTTGCTGCAGATGCGGTGTTCTGGCCAGTATTGAGGAGCTCTCGGAGGGATGTCCTCGTCGTCGAGTCACTACCCGCCTGCGCGGAGGCCGTTCCTCAAGTTTCCGCCGCCTCCACCGTTCCCGCCGGGAACTCACACGGACTATGCCTACGCCTACTACGAGCCGGGGCCGAGCACCTCCAAGCACACCTTCATCAACTGCTACGGCACCGAGGAGAACATTTACGAGGAGATCGGCGCCACCCAGCTCGAACAAGAGGTCCGATATGTCCACAGCAAACACCTACAGGTACCGTCCAGTTCATATTTTGCACCATTTTATCAATTGGACCGTATGAATGCAACGAGGATAACCGTTATCCCTGGCTAATCCATAAAGTACACTCATCTGTGTTAGTAGCGTGGCGTACTTTTCTATGTATCGATTGATATGCTAATCTAGCCTATAACAAAGATCGATTATCAGAGGTTCGCAACGAACATCAGAATAATCGATTTTTTACCATAGCTTCAAATGGGATAGTATCGATTGTCGATTATCACGCCTCGCCACTGATCTGTGCGGAAAAACTAATGACACGTGCGCTTCTCTTATAACGACTGCCAGAAATAGTGGTTCCTAAGTATAAAATGTTAATACCCCAATCCTTTTGTTTGAAGATTTATCTCTTCTACAGGGTGTCTACATGTCTCGGAAAACGGGAGTGGGTTAGCTCATTCAGTCCTGTATGGAAAGACATCAGAGAAAAGCGTTTCAGTAAAAAATTGTCAATTTATTACATTTAATGATCCATACTTATTACATTTAATGATCCATACCAAGAAGATACGCATACGCAAGATTTACATATTTCTGCCGCTTGCAGTGAAATTAATACGATAAATAGCGTCATACTCAGTTCGATGTCTGCAAACCCTAGTATAAATAAAGATTCTTCCGATGACAATTTTTTCAATTTTCTTCCTTGGCGGACGATTTATTTTTACTAAGATACCGTTGATGTGAAAAATCAGGGAATAATTCTCTAAGTTTGGTCTGGAAAAACCTTGAAAAGTCGGAAAAATGTTTTCGCAGAGTTTGTATACATCCCGGACAACGTTGATCCCCTTTTTAACTTAATCGCACTCTGAATTTAAATGCGCGGATTTCCAATCTCTCCGACCCTCGGGCCAACGCGTTAGGTGTTAATGAATAATTTTATTCGATAAAATAACACCCCCTTCCATTCCCCGCGGCCGGCGCCCTATCAGGCGTGAAAATCATTTTTGGCATCCGACTCCGTAATGACACTCAAGCTGCGGGTGATGAGACACGGATCAATCAATGCACCAAAACTCGACGCCTCCACCGGAAGCCTCCCTGGGTTGCCATATTGTGCGATAAATCAGGATATTTTACTCGGATTAAATGGGGGAAGAAGTACTATTTGGCATGAAAACAGATTGCTCCGCGCACACGCCCCTTCCCGATCGACTTGATTTTCTTAGGCTGGAGCAGCAGCGGCGTCTCTGGCAAGCCACGGGATGTACTTCCGGCGTATCGACATATTTCCAGGCAGTTCCGTGCCGGGATACCATCGACTAGCGTTGCCAATAGATCGAAAAGTTTCACTGACGACACTCTTCAGACGGTTGTGTTCTGAGTGATATGGCACCGAAGAAGGAACGGGTGAACCACAATGTGAGCGTCAAGTTCCAGATCCGAGAGCGTCTGTGAGCCGGATTTAGATACAAGGAACTTGTATTCTTTTCCACGCTGCGCTTCTTATGTAGTGTATTACTAACAGTATAAGACATCAACTGTTACCTACGTTAGAAATTTTGGATTTTTACTCAGTTTTGCTCATTCCTGTTACAGTAGGGTCTCGGTCATCCGCGGTGATCGGGACAGGATCTGCCGCGGATAATCCGAAATTAAGATTTTTGGCCAGGATTAAGGAGTGATCAAGAAAACTGTTTTTCAAACAACTCCATCAAAAAATTTCAACTAATGAATAGAAATTTCATCATCATAGTTAAAAATGAATACATTTCACCCTATAAGCGGTCATTTTGCCAAGTATCTGTATCATTTTTGGTAGAAATGTTTTTCAGAAGTTTACGCCATATAATTAAAACATCTCTGGGATCGATCATTTCCTTTGCGTTTGATGAGAGTTTTTTCCTCACATATGATTAGATTGACAACTAAATAGATTACAGTTTGCAATAAGGAACCACTATATCTGGCTCTTCCATAAAATCACATATCTGCACAGGGAACCAATGGCATGTTTATTGTTTCCAGAATGGGCTAGAAATATAATGGTTCCTTATTGCAAAATATAATCCAAATTCCCTATTACTCCATGAAAAAAGCCACCGCATAAAAACGCGGATAACTGAAGCGTGGATACTTGGAGCTCTTCAGTGTTTGCTGCTTTTTGAAAAGAACTATCTCAAGCTCATTTTTTCAATCAGTTCTTATCACTCCAGTTTCTTGAATCCGGCTCTGAACTCTGCCCAAAGCCGCGATGCAGCAAGTTATTTAAATTGGGAATTCGGAAATTTTGGAGTTAGGGTATAGCAAAGAAGTAATGAATTTAGGAAATGTAGACATTGGAAGCCTCGTATGAGCGAAAATTTTGTCATCATTGTCTCAAAGTGGCGGCATATAAAAATCTTACGTTGAAAAACTGAAATTTGCACCGATCTGAGAAGTGGAAATGCATTTCTCCTGCTCTTCCTCCTGCAGTTTTTATAGGATCTGAGAGGCTGCGGTCGGATCCGGGGTCATGGCGCGGCGCGTGGATATCCGATAAACAACGGCAATAAAAATTGTTTTAATTTCCAATTACTATTCATCAGCACTCGCCAACGACGGGCACAAGCTCGGGGAAACCGGTACAGGTGCGTTGCCGATTGTCGTGTGAAAATTAGCCTCTTTCGCTCTATTTTACTCGGAAAACCAGATTTCTCAACGTGCTGGCATATTCGTAGACTCCCTCGCCAAATTCTCGGGTAAATTCTTCGCGGGTTTTATCAATAAAGTGGCGAAGCTGTCGGGATAGAGGGTGATGACATCGTCATCTTGCGGCCAAAGAATCACAAGCACTGGAAAAAAAACACATTGGATCTAGAGTCCAGACTCTTAAAAACATCGACAAGAAAAAATACTCGTGATTCAATCAGATTTAAGCTTAAATCAAGAACCAAGCCTCTTAATTTGAGCGGATTTCCTTTTGATTTAAGCTGAAATGTGATTGAATCAAGAGTCCTTTTTCTTGTCAATGTTTTCAAGAGTCTGGACACTAGATTATGTGATTTTATTCCAGTGAGTGCCATGCGACGTTCAAAAATTTCCGCCGCAATTTTATTTTTTTACAGAGAAATTGTTGGTTGAATGTGTTTGAAAATTTCACTGAATTTTATCGGCAGCTCCAAGAAAAGTCAGTAAACTTTTCGGTCAGCCTCGTTGAACATTTTCTCTGTAAATAAATAAAATGGCGGCGGGAATTTTCAAGCTTCGCCTGGCGCTTGTGATACTTTGACCGGAAGGTGACGACTTTTGCGGTGCTGAGTTGGATCGAGTCCGACAGCAAGAATCCATGTCGTCTAATATGTAGGGTCCAATGTATAAGATTTGTAAGTCTAGTGGCCCATTCTGTCGTGATGAGAAAAAACGACGTTCGTAGAAACAGTTATTTCTTATAAAAGTTACGAATATTAACCGGAAAATATCCAGAAATTTGATGACATCAGTAAATATCAGGAAATTATTCGTTAAGTGGATCATAGATCAGAAAATGCTGAGCACGTCAAGCAGTTTTCAACTACATGCAATTTAGCAAGTAAAACATTTGATTCAACTAATTACATGTATTGGTTCACAAAATCAAACGAACGTCAATTTTTTCTTGTAAAAAACAGGAAATTTTATTTGAAATATCGAGAAAATCCCGAAAATATAAGGAGAATCCAAAATAAAATTCCAGGAGTCAACGTAATTACGCAAAAGCTGAAAATCCAACTCCATTGGGACCTAAGTGTAGTAAGGGATTGTCTCTGGATGGGCTTAATGCAGTCGCGGTTAACGGAGACGGTTTGTATTAATTGTATTTAAAGTATCGTGAAAATCAGAAAATTTAAGGAAAATCCAAAGTAAAATTTCAGTAGACAACTTGCTTACGCAAAATCTGACAATCAGGCTTGAGTGGGATCAGAGTGTAGTAGTAGTAGTAAGGGATTGGCTCTGGATGGGCGTAAAGCAGTTGTGGTTAACGGAGACGGTTTGTTTGTTGCAGGTTCTGGACGAGCTGAACCTGACGGTGGAGGCGATGCTCATGCCCCCGCCGACGTCGTCGTCGAAGCACGGTCACGGCGGGGACGGGGCCGACGGGAACTCGNGGGCGGCTCGGGGTCCGGGGGGTCGGGGGGCTCCGGCTCGGGGGGCCCCGGGGACGACCTCCTCTCCCCGGCGAGCTGCAGCCTGGACAGCGGGTTCAGCGGCTCCAGCAGCGGCACCAACAGCCTCAGCCGAAACTCCACCCCCAACTCCTCCGCCATGGCCAAGTACAAGAAGTCCCCGCAGAAGTTCTGGAAGAAGATACCCAACCTCGTCTCGCCCTCCTCTTCCTCCAGCACCCTCACCAAGAATTCAGGTTAGTGCCCCTTTTCAGATTTTTTATGTTCCCGCCACTATCTCTACAGGCTGATCGTTCATATTTATAGACAAAGCTGTAGACAAAGAAGACAAAAGGGATATGGACTGGTCCTATTGGTGGAAGTGAGTGGTTGCCATGGACAAAGGAGGTAATTAATAGACTTACTAACGGCAACTCACGAGAGACTCGATAGTTAGTCCATCATTTTCTCCCTTAGTCTATAAGAACCAACCATATTAACCAATGGAATTGCTCCATACTCCCTATGTCTTCTTTGTCTGTCGCATTGTCTACCAATTTCAATAATCAGCCTGCTATAGCTGAAATTCCAAAGCAGGTGCTACTAAAATTCGTTTTTTCCCTCACGAAAGGACGTAACTACTTTTCAATGTTGCCACATTTCTTCTTACCAATTGGACGTATTTCTGCCAACACGGTGTCTACAAGTCCGGAATTTCCGGAAAGTCTCGAAAAAGTACTGTATTTTAAGAGCGGTCCGGAAGTACTGAAAAAGTGCTGAAATTCCGCTAGAAGGTCCGGAATTTTATTCTTTTCTCAGCAATTTTTGTCGCAATTTGAGTGAGAAATTCGAATTTTTGAAATTTTTCCAAGTTCGTCAAAATGGAGGTACTACAAAAGTACTGAATCTTTCTGTTAAGGAGGTACTGACTTTCTTGGGAATGTACTGAAAAAGTTCTGATTTTTAGCCAGCCTGTTTTAGTAGACACCCTGGCCTAACGGAACGATGTGCATTATGGTGTGAGCCCTGTTATGCATACATTCTTATGGGTCTCAGGGCTCATGCCCTAATGCACATAGTTCTGGTCGGCAGAATTACGTCCAATTGCATTGTTCCCTGAAAAAAACGTGGACATTTCTAACTGAAATTTTTTTCACTGAATTTTAGCAGCTTTGAAAGGAGTTACGTTTTTCGACAGAAATGACGTATTTCCTTTAAAATGGACGTACTTAAATCAAAAAGGAGTACATCCATCCTGACACGAGCCGTGAGATCCATCAGTACACGGAGAAAAAAAATTCGTGCGTGGGACCCGAAGTTTAGGTCATATGGATCTCTGAAGTTTTCAGATTGAGCATCTGAACACTTTAGGTCTAGCTGCCGAGGTTCGGATCACACATCTGAAACTTTAGTTCTTACATCTGACGTACTTCGGTTCTCACATCCGAAGTATTTCGGTTCTCACATCTGAAGTACTTTAGATGCAAGAACTGAAGTTTCAGATGTATAATCCGAACCTCGGCAGCTAGACCTAAAGTGTTCAGATGCTCAATCTGAAAACTTCAGGGATCCATGTGACCTAAACTTCGGGTCCCACGCACGAGTTTTTTTTCTCCGTGTATACACACTACACAATGGATGTTGTTACTTTTGATTTAAATGCGTCGAAATAATCTCCCGAGGTTTCAAAGAAATCCCGTGAGAATCAACAACGATGTTCATGAAGTAAACGGCACCATGCAATAAATTTTATTTCGTGCAATCAAGCGAGCACTAACGAAATTTTGCGTTACGCGCGGTAGGAGCAGGAGCATTCCCCGGCACCTCGACCGCCGTCTGCGTTTTTAAGCGCGTGATTTATCCGATCCTTTTTGGCGAGCTCGTCGCGTGTAAAATAAATCGCTTCCCACTCGTCTAGTTGAGTTATTTTTATTTTCAGTCTCGGTCTGTCCCCTCGGACTCCTCACATATTCCTCTAAATATAGGCCCGGATTTATCATCTAATGTATGCATCTTGTCAACGGCATACAACTGACGCGCTGACGTTATGAGCCGTGAATCGCGGCCTGCTACAAAACTGCGGGCCGTTGTGCCGTGCGTTATTTACGACGGCGTTAACTCGCGATTTTCGAGTTTACGGAAAGTACGACAAATGTTACTGTTTTTTCGGTATCGTAGGAAAAAGTGATAATTGGATTGCATTTTGCAATAAGGAACCGCACTATCTCTGGCTCTTCCATAAAAGCACGTATCTGTATGGGGAAACTAATGGCATATCGACGGTGTAAGTCGGCAATCACATAACTCGGTTTACAACGTCGCAGACTTCCTGTCATACTTCATTTTTTAAATGGAAAACTACTCAACGGCAATTCTTTAAAGCTGCCGTGATTTTTTTTGTCTGTGCGAAGAAAATTCTGCAAAAACTTCAAGGAATGAAGCCAGTTTGTTCTCCTTTAAAAAAATACCATAGAGGCGGAGATTTTCAGGCACCGCAAACGAGTTATGTGATTGCCGACTTACACCGTCGATATGTGTTGTATTTAAAATGAGCCACAAATAGTGGTTCCTTATTGCAAAATGTAGTCCAATTGCAGTTAGACTGAGCCTCGGCGGTCGGTTGTAATCATTCTACAGGACTGCCGCACTTTTCTTTTCAATGTAAGAGTCGTACAAATGAACTATGTCTTTTGCAATAAGGAACTATTTCCAGCTCAGCCTTAAAATCACTTATTTGCATAGGAAAACCAAAATGACGCGTATGTCTTTTTTCAAGTAATCCAGTGGAAATAGTAGCTCTTTATTGCAAATATTTCGTCCAAATTCGTACTCTTTTTTTATTTGCTGAAACATGTGGCATACAATCAGGAAGAGTCGGAAGGGAACTTTTAAACAGGCAGTGTGAAATATGACGTACGCTCCCGTGGAAATGAGCCTTACCATAATTTTCGAAGGAAAAGGTGTATAGCGTAACGCAAGCTTTCAAAGAAGGACTCAGAATTTCAGAGGAGTGAGGACTCAAAAGTTGATGACTAGCGTTACATGATATCTGAAAGACTCCTAATTACGTCCAACACTGCCATTAGATGTTTGTTTATGTATAGTTATCGTTTCTTATCAGTTCATCGGACTATTATCTAATTGAGTAATTCCAGTTTGAACCAAGTCGTGAAAGAGCTCTGATAAATGCATTTTTTTCTTTTTCTTCTTTTTTTTTGATGAAGCGTTCTCTTCTAAAGTTTTAACTTTTTCTCATCTTGCTTGCGTGCGGTATGTGGTTTCGTCAAGCCGATTCTTCGTTTCTAAAATTCAAGTGAATAATACAAGCGGAAAGCCGCGTCTTATAATTTATCGATGGACAGAATTTGTAGGAGGTTTTTTATATCGTGGTGCATCCAAATTCAGACTGGTGCTTCGACTGGAGTAGAAGAAGAAGAAGAAGAACGTCGGGCCAAACTGTCTCCTGGCAAGTCTCTTGGCAAAGCGCCACGGTGTTTTTTTTTTCAAAGTTGTGATCTTCCGTTGTTTGTGTTCGTATTAGATAAATTAAAACATTCCAATGAAAATGAAAATTAAAAAGCATCTTCAAACGTCACTCATCCCACTACTATGTGCACGGTCTCGTGACTTCGGTGAAGCTAAATCACAGAAATAACGTTGACCTGTTTTCTTTGATCTGAAGTTTTCAAACATGACAAATTAAATTGATGGACCCCAGTGGCTAACAGGCTCGACGATTTTTGGCGTATCGGCGTCGCTTGTCCCTAACTCCAAGTCCAAAAAGTCTCAGTCGATCGACCAAATTTTTGATTAAATCGACCGGAACCGTAGAAACGCATTGGACTATCACCAATGCGATTCTGGCGCCTCTCATATTATTTTTAACGAAGTTGCAATTGTTAACCTAAAGAATTAGTCATTGTAATACAAAGAAAAACTAACCAGAAAATATCATTCGGAAATTTAGGTTACTTGGTGTTCAACTTCCCTTATGAACTCTAAAAATGTCGGTTCCCTTTTCTTACTGTACTAACATCTTGGAGTAAAATTCTGTGCTGCAATCTGTAAAGCGCCCCAAAAATCGCAAGAGAGATAGGAACGCGGAGCGGAATCTACACTGAAAAAAAAAAACACATTTGATCTAGAGTCCAGACTCTTGAAAACATTGACAAGAAAAAGGACTCTTGATTCAAGCAGATTTCAGCTTAAATCAAAAGGATATCCGCTCAAATTAAGAGGCTTGGTTCTTGATTTAAGCTTCAATCTGATTGAATCAAGAGTATTTTTTCTTGTCGATGTTTTTAAGAGTCTGGACTCTAGATCCAATGTGTTTTTTTTTTCAGTGTATGCTCCTTACGGACGGAGTGACTTACACCATTATTTATAAAGTGGAGTCTATGCCTTTCGCGGAGTGTCATACGCTTTTATAGTGCTAATTTCACTTCGCATTTAAATCACTCAGGGTTTTGGGCGCTGTGCAGACTCCGGCACCAAACACATCTAGTTTTTTTAAAGTGAGTAAAGTGGTCCATTGTTCCGTTAACGAGTTTTCACAAAATTTTCTCAGCCCTGAAATAGCTCAAATTTCCGATTTGAATTCGAGTGGATCTCTGGTGGTACATATCAGGACTCGGCAATTTCTTCGCCCTCGTGGTATAAGGGCGCAACTACACTTGGACTGCATTTTGCAATTTGGAACGATAAATTCCGGCTCATCTGAAAAAACACTTATGTGCACAGGGAAACTAATAGCACATACGTTGTTTTTAAACCGGGACAGAATTTATTGTTCCAAATCGCAAAATGCAGTCCATTTAGCACTGAATCCTGTCGTCCAAACCAAATGATGCTTCTCTAGGTTCATCCCATTGTACAGTTATGCTCTTTTGTGAGTCGGGCGACGATTTGCCGATTCGTCGCCCGCAATAATTCTTCTGTCGGCCCGACTCGAGCCGAAGCCACACCAAGGATCGTAAATTAGTATCGCTCGCTTAAATAACATCATTTATCACGGCGCAACGACGGCCGTCGCCGTCGCGTCCGAGTAACGAATCGGACGTGCCCGTGTCATACGCCTCGTCATCGGAAATCGAAAACCACGTGGAGCCCATTCATAAACGTGGGTCGTTAGCGCATAAGCTTCGCGCTCGATTCATCCCGCCGTAAACGTAATGCGGCCCGACACTCCTGTGCCGAGGAAAAACCACGCATGAGCATTCGAATGTTGCCGAATTTCGCTGTAAAAAAATATTCATTG